AAAATAGACTGGCAATTGAATAATTCAGCAAAGTATGCATTCTGGGCTTGCCCTACCTCAGAGAGCCGCCATCAGCCATGTTGCTTTTGAAGGCTTCCTTCTTTGCTCTCACCCTGGTTCACCTTTCTTTTCCCCAGCCCAGGTGTACAACGACATCAGCACAGGTGGGGTTTTTGAAGAAGGAGGCCTGGACAGAAAACACATCTTCCTGACCATCCATGATGCTGTTTTGTTCGCACTGGCAGATATCAAAGAAGTCATCCACCCACCCACCTTAGAAGAGGTACATTTGCTCCCCATGTGCTTTTCTCCACCTCACAGTACTGTACTGTTAAGTCCATACACTGTGCCAGCACAAAGGAAGAACAAAATCTCACTAATGCACACGGTAAACGTTCTTGTTTATCTTAAGTGGTAAAGGTCTAAATCCAACAAACTATTTCCTATCTGAATTTTCATGTAGGAGCCAAACACCTGCTGATTGAATTGCATTAAATGGGAAGTCAAGAAGTGTAAATGTTTTCTGCAAGGCCCAAGCTGGGAGATGAATGTTGTCCCAACTGGTAGAGGCCAATAGAGCAGTGCCAGGTCTGTGCTCTCTGTTTGGCGTTGGCTGGAGCATGCAACCGCACTCAAGGGCAGAATATGGCCACAGCAAAAGGAGGCAAAGCAAATGCACCTGCCCTTGAACATCCATGAATCTTCCCTTGGTAGGAAGAGAAAAGGTCAACGCAGGAATATGGCACATGCTGACAACAGAGGGTCAGATAGGTTATTTCCCCAAACATACACTGGTTTATTGCATAATAACCAGAGCTAGAACCAGCGCAGTTTTACTCAGTTATCTCATAAGAGTAAGTTTACATATGCCTTATCTCTGCAGTGATGTGTAAGTGCTAGCTCAGTCAGCAACGATAAACAGCTGCAACAAGATTCCACCTGTGCCCTTTCTGCTTGGGCATTTCCCTTTGGGCATGCATGGGCTACTCATTTCTTTCACTGTGTTTGTCCCTGAACTCTGTTAATTCATGAATTTGATTCTTTCCTTCCCAGAGGCCGAATCAGACAGAGCTCTCCATCTACGATGAGTCTGTGGATGAAAGCAGCTCGGAGTTCACAAACCTGGAGGAGGTTAGTCCTAGTGCCTGTGGGCAGGAGGGACACCAGGTGGGACATTCTACCTTGAATCAGGTAGAGGAGGAGGCACTGCCTGATGCTGACCCCCACGCTATAAGAAGGAGGCCAGGGAAGGGCTGGGGCTTCAGCTGACGTTTCTGTGTGCGATTGAACCGCTTGCTGGGTTTGTGCTCTGCCACGGCACCAGCCCTAACCCAGCACGCCTTGTGTGCCTTCTAGGAGATGTTTGGAAGCATGTTCCATTCAGAGACACAGACAGCGCTGTGAGCCTCCTGCTGATAAACCCTCCTGGACAGCCTCCTCTCTCCCATCCCATCACGAAGAGCTGCACTCCTACCCAGGAATACAAAGTGTTTGCAAAGCAAGAGGTCATCACGCCTCTTGAACTGGTAAATTTCTCCTCCCGCTCTGCTTCTGGTGCTCAGAGAAATGGCCTCTGCAGCAGACAACAGAACACCACGGAGCAGGAACTCAGGAAATACCATCCCATTAATCACAGAAGAGAAGCAAGCTCACCTGATGGCAGGTGCCTCAGCGCATGGGACAATCAGTTGGTTTTGCCACGTGCTTGCCTTTGTCTCACACAGTCACAATCTTCTGCCCACAGAGGCATTTGGGAAACCCCCTTCTTTCTTTTCCTTCCTCCTTCTTTTCCCGATGAAATGAAATTAAGCAAATATTGCGAGCCTCTCACGGCTTTGAATCATGAGCAAAAGCAGCTTTTGCAAGGTGCAGCCTGTAAGGTAATGCTGTTTCAAAACGTGCACTGACTGTCGGGGTGCCTGCACTGCAGGTGCCAACCTTTGTGTTCACCCACATTTCTCCATGCCCCTGCACTGCTCTCTGTGTGACCCAGAAACCACAGCCTCCAGTCAGTGCTGTGTTTCTCACACCCTGGTGCAGTATCTCAGGTGGGCTATTTTCCAGATTATATTTTGACTTATTAATAGGGCTAGCTTGTAATGGGGAGTATGGATTCCTTGTTATGGTGTGCTGCGTGTGCATGCTGGTCTGCCTGCCCAGTAAGTCAGCATGTGTTCAGAAGACCCAGACTCCAGTTAAAATCCCTCCTGATATTTTTAGGCATCTTCCTTCTGTCTGAACAGAGCTGCAGAGGTTTTTAGACTGTGCATGTCGTGAAAGCATTAATTCCAAGGGTGTTCTGCCTCCCTTTCCATCTTGACTGCAGTAGCTAAATGATACGTGGTAGGTGGATTAGTGCTTTGTGGAGATATATATACACCTCTACATATTTTTTCCCCAAGTCATTCTGACCACAAAAATCAAACGCAGGGACAGCGAGGAATCTCCTTCTTGTAAAGTCCTGGATGCAGGGCAGCAAGATGAAAACTTCAGCCCATTTTGTATCTGCAACTGGTACCAGCTGCGCTATGGAGGGCTTCCGACGACAAGCTCTCAAATGGTCACTCAGGCAGCAAGGGAGCGCTCTTTTTTATATCTGATATTTCTGTAACAATTCTCTACTGCATATTTGATGATTTTCATTACAATTCATCTCAGATTGATAATACCAGGACCATCTACCTCTCAGGCAAACAAGCCTGACGCTCTAACCCAGAGACAGACAGACGAGATCTTAATCACTTCTAGAAATCTGGCATTCTTTTATATTTGAGTGATGCTTAGAACAAGTGCTATTTTAATTTCCCTTTCTGACATCTTCCCTTCTTACCCAGTGCTGATATTGTGACAGAAATGACAAGATAACAATCTAAAGCCTGAAAAAACCTAAGCAGAAGCCAAGAGTTAAAGGGACCCTTCTTCAGTGCGTTTCAACCTCAAATATGGCTTTGATGGAAGCAAGGCCATAGAAAATTTAGCATGTCTTCAGTTGCAATGAATGCAGCTTTTTCTGTTTGATTTTCAAATCCTCCTACAAAGTATTTCCAGCACTGGGATAAAGACAAGAGTGAACAAGCAAAACTCAGCAGTCTGCTGCATTTCCATGAATGCAAAAAAAAAAACAAAACAAAACAAAACAAAACAAAAAAAAAAGCCTTAATAATCCAAGCAAATTATATTTTTAAAGCTTATTTTGATTGTATTGCTCCACGACTTTAAAAAGATAAACAAGCTTTAGCGCACCGTTTCAAGGTTCATATTGAGTTGATTCATTCACACGTTGCTGGAAGGCTTTCTGGGCAGACAAAGCAGAGCTTCCCTATTGCTCCCAATGTCCCATTTTTAAGGAAAATAGAGCTTCATGAACCATCATAGCTAGACAACCATTACAGGTAATCACATCACAACCTGCCACTTTGGCTTTATGTAACACCTCATTAACTAAGCCACCATTTCTCTACCTCAGTTTCAGATTATGTGGTGCAGGAGAGTAATAACACCAAAGAAAGTCAGTTTCCCAAAAGAAACAAACCACCTCCTAATAGTCATTACTTATTTTGATAAGAGACAGCAGTGCTTTTTCCAGAACTGTGTTTTGTTGTACAAGCTGAAAACAAGAGCTAAATTATCTTATCTTTGAGGGTGATTACTCATGCTGTTTTGCTACTGTTTGAGAGTTCCTTTCATTCACTTATTTGAAAGAAAAAAAGAAAAGAAAAGAAATTGGTGCAATAGAACACGAAGCTATTCTACAGTAAGCAATCAATGTTTCTGTATCTCTGAGGTTGCTCTGCTTCAAATAAGGAAAATTGCAGTTTCCAGTTCCTCAATCATGTCTAGTTGGAGGAGACTGATTCCTCAGGATCTGCCAGACCTCACGCAGGAAACCTCAGAGCAACAGGCTGTGCATGAAGAATAGATTTTGTTTCTTGAAGTTCCTACAACATAACAGATGGGATTTCAAGGGAGGCTCCTTGCACTGGCACACAGTGTTGACAGCCCAGGAAAAATGATTCCTCCTTTTGGTAGCCACAGGTCACTTCTGGTGACAACATGGACGGACAGAACCACTGGAAGCTCAACAATGTCTTCATTTTCATGTCCTGGACAGGAGAGTGAGGGAAACTCCAATTTATACTGGGGTAGAAAATCTTAAATTTCAGTGTCCTTTTATTGCTGACGGTGTGTAACAGCTCTGAAGCCTCCCCCGACAAACTCATGACGTATAACCAGCTCAGAATGTTTGTAATTTATTTAATTTAATATCGGTTTTGTTCTTTTTTTCTTTTTTTTTTTTTTTCTTTTTTATAATAAAGAATGTCTGAACAATCACTCGCTTCTGCTGCTGCTTTGAGGCTTTCTTGTAGCTCCCAGCTAAAGGCACCTCACAAACATTGATGCCATGGGATAAAATGACGCAACCCTTCAGCACAACGCTGCTGTAAAGAAGGAACACGATTTCCATCGTGCTCCAGGGTGAAACCAGACTGGAGGCGTGTGTTTGTAATGCTGGGAAGAGTGAGGGGCAACATCGGGAGACACACGTGGAAGGAAAAAACATTGTGGGAGTCAAGACGTGGCTGGGGCAGGTTGTGGAGCTGCTGGAAGCTGAGAGGCTGAACCTCCTGGGCTCTGAACCTCCTGAAGGTTGGAATCCCCTCAGGATGAGGCCTGCTGCTGCCAGCCATCTCCTGCCGCCACAGCGCGGCTTGCTCCCCCACACAGACACCCGTTTCTCACCACATCACTCTGTCACATTGCCAGCAGCCCCGTGGCTCAGCTCACTGCTGGATAAAAAGCTCAATTTTCACCGAGCGCGCGCACACACAGGAGGAAAGCACTGCACTCCACACCAACAGCGCTCAACTACAACTCCCAAGCTACCTCACGCAGAGGGCGGGACCGCGCCTCTCATTGGCCAACTCCTCGAGCAGCCGCGCGGCCATTGGTCCGCGGTCACGTCCGTCAGCCTCCTAGCGAGAGCGGGAGGCGGTGGCGGTCGAAGTCCGCCGGTCATGGCGGGTGGCTGCGGCCGGTGGCGGGCGGCGCTGTGCGCGGCGGCTACGGGGCTTTGCGCGGCGCTGCTGGCGCTGACGGCAGCGGTGCTGATCCGCACCTACGCGCTGCGATCCCCGGCCATCCCGCGGCTGTGGGCACGGCGCGGGGGAACGGCCGCTTTCAGTATCGGAGAGAGGTTGGAAATGAAGGAAACGCTGCGAGGTGAGGGGCGTTTCGAGAGCCCCGGGCTGCCCAGCAGGGTTCGGTGTTGGAGAGTCTGTTGTGTGTGAGGCGGAGGGCTGAGATTGAGCAAGGAAAGCATTGTTTGGTGATGAGGCTTTGTGGGTTGATTGCATTGCCGTTGGAAATGTGAATTCCCAACTATCTGCCAGAACGCTGTGTGGGCAAGGAGTCGGTTTCCTTAGTAGAAGTGCCATCCCTAATGACAGCCATCGGGCTGAAAAAACAAAATATGTTCCGGTTTTGTGGGGGGAAAAAAAAGTCTGAAACAGAAGGGAAATGCAGCAGACACAGCTGAGCTAAAGGGCGCCTGTCCTTCCCATTGAGGTCACCCTTCCCTGAGCTGTGAAACAATCTGTAAAACCTCAAAAATGCCAAGGAATGTAAATATTGCTTTGCCTTTTGAAATGCCGGTCTGATTTCAACGTCAGTTGATCTCTGTTTTGTTTGACCGTAGGTGCTGTGAAAATCCCGACTGTTTCCGTATCTCCGGAGGACTTAAATGCAACTGCCATGGCAGAATTTGGGGATTACATTCAGAAAGGTATTAAGCTTTCATCCTTAGTCATCCCTGCTATTCCTTTTTACTGTACAGTGGAGTAAGTAGCACATGCAGGCTGGATGTGGCTCTGGGCAGCCTGGTCTGGTGGTTGGCGACCCTGCACACAGCAGGGGGTTGGAACTGGATGAGCATTGTGGTCCTTTTCAAGCCAGGCCATCCTATGATTCTAGCAAGGATACATCAACAGCCAAAGCCAGCAAATAGAAAGTTCAGATGCCCTTTTTTAGTGGTTTGTAGATGGCTAAATGACTTTGCTGTAAAAAAAAAATAAGGTACTGTTTCAGCCTAACTGGCAGCTCCATCATTGCTGTAAAACAGCTGCAGCACTGATGGATGACAGTTCCCGTTTTTCCTTAAGAAGATCCCAAATAGGAGCTCAGATGGGTTGGTCAGAGTGTGAGAATGAAGCTGCACATCTGCTTCCTGGAGCAAGTTTGTGGAGCCCATCGAAAATATCTGACTGCTCCATGGGCTGTACAGTGATACAATTGGAAATTAGCACTGATTTTTCTTCTTCTTGTGTTTTTATTTATCTGTTCTTCCAGTCTTCCCAGCTGTGTTTTCTTCCAAGTTCATTCAGCATGAAATCGTTGGGGAGTACAGCCACCTCTTCACAGTTCAGGGTTCTGACTCTCAATTGATGCCCTACATGCTGCTCGCGCACATGGATGTTGTGCCTGCTCCCCCTGAGGGCTGGGATTTCCCTCCCTTCTCAGCTGCAGAGCATGAAGGTTTCATCTATGGACGAGGAACTCTGGACAACAAAAACTCTGCCATTGTACGTCTTCTTGGTAATATTTCAGAGAGAGGAAAAGGCAAATTGAAGGAATGTGCTCTCTTGAGATTGACCACGTTGTCTCTTTTGCCCTTCTTTCCTAAGAAAATTCCTGAGCCCTGCAGTTTCTCCCCAGCTTTTCCTAGAGGTGAAGCGAGATGGTCTTCTATTACTGAAGAAAACAATGAGGTCTCTTTCAAGGTGTAGAAAAACGTATTTACAGATGCAGATGTGTTTGGTTGAGTGATTTTGTTTTGACACTCCCTCCTACTGTGAACTGCACAAGTGATCCCACAAATGGACAATAGAAATCAGTGGTTGTGGTGGAAAAGATGAGGTGGTTGCTTATGAGGTTGAGGTGATGTAAATTTCTGCTAAAAATGACAAACTAACAGAAAACTGTAGTTTAAAAGACAAGGGAAATGGAAAAATATGGCAAAGGGGCAAAGGGTAGATTTCATTTCATTTCGGAGTAAATTTCTCATTCTTCTGTTTCTGCCTTAGTACTTTTTGTATGAAACATGTTGCTCCTTAACATAAATGGGATTGGTAGCTCAAGCCAGAGCCAGGCTGTGTAAAGGATGGACGATTTAAAGGAGCAGTGGAGTCCTTGGATGATGAAAAGCATTGTGCTTTCTATGCAGTTTGTCCCTGACTTCATCAGTTGGAAGAACAAGCCTGCACTGTAGTGTGTGTGCATAGACTGATGCTGTGTTACACCAAGCCTGAGGCATTACTTGAGAATATGAATGTCATCAGCAGGAGCTGAAGAAGTAAATACTCCGTTTTGAGCAGGAGAAAGTCTCCTTACAGGCTGAGAGCACCTCGTGGTTCCTTTCTGTTACATTACAATCTTTTGCATTTATTCTCCCATTAGCACCATAAAGTAGTAAAATATTCTGAGGTGGGTTTACGTGTTTCTTTTCTGCAGGGCGTTCTGCAAGCTCTAGAATTCTTACTGAGAAGAAATTACAGACCCCGCAGGTCTTTCTATGTTGGCATTGGCCATGATGAAGAGGTATTTTCTTTCATTCTGGCTAGATGACTACTTGTTTGGCATGTACATAGCAAGTCTTGTTTCTTTAAACCTTGTTCACCTAGAAAATCCTTCCTGTTCTTTGTTGTGTGTGTAGTTACTGTCAGGCTCGTGCTCATAGTTACGTATTGATTGTTTGGTTTTAAGTGACGTTGATGGGATTTGGTGTAATGAGCAATGAGAAAAGAAGGCAGCAGAGTGTTGTTTCAAGTTCTTTTCTGATTGCAGACGTGGAAGAACTTGGGAGTGTAATAAGGCATGGCAAGCTGGCCAAAGATTGGCTTGGTTGTTGCAGGTGATGAACAGTAAGATGCTTTCCAGCATTCTTCCCTGTGATGTGGCTAAACTTTGCCATTTCCTGACTGGTTTTTCACAGGTGTTTGGTCGGAAGGGAGCAGTGAAGATGGCAGCTCTGCTGGAATCCAGAGGAGTGAAACTCTCCTTCTTGCTGGATGAGGGAAGCGCTGTCCTGGACGGCATCATTGCGGGCGTGAAGAAGCCAGTAGCTCTGTAAGTAAAAGAGAAAAAGAATCATTGTGATGAAAATGATTCATTTCCACTAATTATGTGTTAGAAATGACTTTGCTAATGTCACCAAAATGTTTTCAAGGCATGAGGCAGTGTTGGCATTGCTGAAATGACAGAGAGCAAAGGGCCTTTGGTTTGCTTGCTGTCCATCGCAGCTGTGCTGACAAAAGCAGAATGTTCTGCTTATCTGATGCAGGAGTGTTAATTGTATGCTGTAGAGTCTGTTCACAGGAGGAGAAGCCAAGATATCAGACCTCCAAATGTTTAAAGATTGCTGAGAATTTGTTATTGCTGCTTCTACAGTGTTTCATGTAATGCTAGAACTATACAGGCTAGTTTCTTCTACCTGTGCTCTGTGCATGTGTGTTTGGAGTTGCATCAATCATTTATTTGTATTTGGCCAGAATTGCTGTCACAGAAAAAGGTTCAATAACACTGAACTTCACCGTGGAAAAAGAGCCAGGGCATTCATCCTTCCCTCCAAAAGAGACAAGTATTGGCATTCTTGCAACAGCAATGTCCAGGTGAGAGCTCCCCTGTTGTCTGACATCAAAGACAGGTTCCCCAGGCGTTGATATTTGACTTGCTTTTGTAATATTTGCTTTTAGAGTATTTAGCAAATTCCCCTTACAGATTTGAAGCTGAAGTTGGCAGCTCACTTTGAAGGGCAGAAACGCAATGCCCAGCAAAGGGACAATAGCCAAATGTCTGGAGTGTGTAGCTGGTAATTGTCCAAACCAATCAACATGATGTAGTGTTAGAATGTTTTATCCTGAAGCTGAGTAAATCTTCTCATTACATATCTCTGTGGGTAGCACACTGACTGGTAGGTACATATTGCAGATAAACCTCATCTGTGGTGTCATTTTTAAATAGATTTTCATGTGTTCTTCATTAGAGTCAGGCCTCTGCATTTCTTCAGTTGGTCTAGAAAGGAAATTTTTGCATGTGGCTGGAATGCTCAGAAATGTGCAGCAGAGCTGTGTTCACAGATGAAAGTATGGTTACATCTCCAATACGTAGATAGGTTTTAGAAACCAAATCCCCATCAGCCTTCTGAAGCAGTAACAGCCAAAGACTGTTTTAATTGCCAATGTTGATTTGCTTTGCCTTAGACTGGAGCAGAATCCCATGCGCAATCTGTTTGGCCATGGTCCGGAACTCCTGACTATGGAGCACCTTGCATCAGAGGTGAGGAAAGAGCCATCATTTAATTCCCAGTTTTTCATATTGCTAAGTGAAGAGTAACTCAGCATATGAGCTTGGAGCACAGTTATGTAATTCTTGGAAAGAAGACTGAAGCTGGCATTTATCCCACGCTGTGAGTTTGTCCTGTTGGCCTTGTTTCACATGCATGAACGTGTCATCTTGACAGCTAGAAACTTACTAATGTCTGGTTCTGTTTCTTCCACTTAGTTCAGTTTTCCTCTCAATCTCATTATGAGCAATCTCTGGCTGTTTTCACCTATTGTCAGCAGGTAAGAATTCATATCCTTGCTGAACACTCAGCCTCACTTGTAAGAAACGGAGGCTTGTCAGAAACTGATTTCTGATCATCCCAGGAAATCAGTCACACCATTTAAAGTCAGTGCTTTACAGATAATAAGCAATTTGTTAATTAAACAGGCCTCAGTTCAGCTTGTTCCCTATGTAAATGTGGTGCTTCTGTTAAGGAAATGTCTTTGAAAAATGATTCTTTTCTTTTTGTAAGAGTTCTTGCCTGGAAACCTTCCACTAATGCCTTGATTCGAACTACTACAGCAGTCACAATGTTTAACGCAGGAATCAAGGTAGCTTCATCTTGATAATGTTTATCATCATTATTATTATTTGTTTAGTATAATGGGGCAGTTGGGACTTTCAGTTTCTGTCTGCATACATCTAATTGTAAGATCAGTACAGCCCTGATTTCACACCCTGTGTGCTGTCACAACCAGTCTGGTTCTTACTTCGGGCATGACTTGAATTAAGCTGCAGTTGCAACTTATTTCCTGTCTGAAGTATCTGAAATCTGTCACAAAGAGACATTTGTAAGCCAACATTACAATTGTTTACATTTTAGGATAGATAAGAAACCACACAAAGTATTGTGGATGTGAACAGAAACAGCTGCTTCCCTCGCCTAGATAGGAACTTGCTTTTGTGAGCATAGGTCAGGCTCTTACCATCATTTGAGGAGGGTTAGCATGCACCTTGGACTGAGAGAAAACAAGTTCTGGCTGACAGAGGCAGATTTTGCCCTGATAAAGAGGTGTAGCTACCTAAAAATATTACAGCCCTGGAAAATAAACAGGGCTTTTGGTGTGTCCCTGATGCAGGAGTGATACAGTGGCTGAACAGTGACACTGAGTGGCCACAAGAGAAGTAACACTCTGATTTCTTCTGTTTTCAACAAAATTCAAATATTCTGTGGAGGAAGTTACTTTTTTTAGTGAAGACACAACATGGCCCATAACTGGAAAGAAATAATGTGGCCATAAAAGGAAAAATACTGAAAAAAAGCTGCCTGAAATTTCTCAATGCAGAGTTTCTGAAGGCAAGTGTCTCATCATAGGAGGAAAGCTTTTGTGTAGCAGCTAGCTTCATTTTTTCACTGACCCAATGGCTGTTTATTTTTGTAGTTATCTGCACTGTAACTGAGATGCAGCATTTGAATGCTGGGTACAAAACAGATCTCATATTGATATCAGTGGAAATGGAGTGACGCATCCACCTGAGAGGCCCAGCATCACTGAGCCGTTTCTGAGTTTGCAGCTGCCTTCCTAATCTGTTTCTAACCTTCCTTTTATGTTCTGATACATTTATTTTTTCTTTTAGCTCAATGTCATCCCATCATCTGCAAGAGCAACTGTGAACTTCCGGATCCACTCTGCAGAGAAGGCCATGGAGGTATTCCTGCCTGCACAGTTATTCATTCTTTTTTGCTCTCATCTCAAATAATTTACTTCTTTCTACCTTTGAAACAGATAATTAATGGCTGCTCTGCTGACTGGAAGCTTCCTTTTGTTTTAGTGCTTCTCCACGCTGTCTTGCATTCTGCCTTCCAAGCTTTTGAGTGTATTCTACTTGAGAACCACACATAACACAGCTCAGACATGGGATGTGGGAATGCAGTGCCTTGGTATACAGGCACATGAGTGTCCTCCCCATTCCTCTCCATCCCTCCACAGCAAAGTGAAGCTCTGCCATCTGAAATTAACTTAGCCCTTGTGGCAGTAGATGTCAGAACACTCTTTTCATCTCTCTTCATGGGAAGGTCTGGGGGCTGCTCCTTAATGGAGGCTGTCAGGAGTGCAGCTGACCTCCTGTCCTTTCTCCTCTGAGATAGAGTGCAAAGTGCATTGTTTTCTATTGCCTGTTCCTCACTTAGCCTCAGTACTGCACTACATTTGGGTATGTTTGCTTCAGTCAGGCTCTGTTCTGGGTATTGTTTTTAGGAGTGCAGTGCAGGTCAGCAAAACTGACTTGCTTATGAGCGGAATAGAGTTTATTCAGAACAACCTTCTCACAAATGCTGTACAGATTCCAAGTATTTTCTGAATGTGGAACAGATCAAGAGGCAGACTGAACTTGGAATCGTGTCTTGCAATTACACTGAGCAGATTTCAAAAGGTTCCTTGTGCCAAAGAGCATATGTGCATTATATGTGATCGTGGGATGGAATAAAGCTTAGGACTTGTGACTTGTGAGAATGCATGAGTCTTGCATGCTCCAGGCTGGACATTCCTGCTCAGCCAAGGACAGCTGTGATAAATTATCAAAAAGTCATGTCTTCCCTTCCAAAACCTCTGGAAGTTTGTATTTTCTGGAAGCTTGTTCTGGATTAAAGTAGTAAGGAGAGGGGCAACAAGCTGTCAGAGCTGAAGTAGTTGAGAAACACCTCAAGGCAGTGATGTGCATCTGATTGCACTGAGACAAAAATGTTTGCTTGAATGTCAGCCATCCTCCCAGTAAAGGAAGAGAGGCTGCCACACCATTTCCTAATTCTGCATCTGTGTTTGGAGCAAAAGTTAGCAGTGCACAGGGAAACATCTTCTGCAAAGTAGTATATTGACATCTAGAAGAGATGCTCTCACTTTTTTCTTCTCTTTATTGTTATTATTAATCTCTGTCATTTACCCATAGGTGCTAGAGACAGTTAGAAACACGGTTGCTGATGACAGAGTGAAGATTGATGTTGTAGAGGCCTTTGACCCCCTTCCCATCAGCCCGTGGGATGACCAGACCTTTGGAGTCCATGTTTTTCAAAGAACCATTCTGGATACTTTCCCAAATGTTGACAGTGTCGTCCCAGGTAACAGCAAGCACATGACAGTTATTTCCTCTTCAGCTTCCTCCCTGCTTTTCTCTCCCCCACCTCCCAATATTGCCTTGTTTCCATTTTCTGTTTCTCCACCCCAGCTGTTAACTACTGGAAACAGCTGTTTTTTCCTCTTTTACTCAGTTCCCTCTTTATGTTTTCAAGTTTTATGTTAGTTTTTAGTGCTGGAAGTAAAAAAGCAAACAGGAAACCGGCAGGAACAATGAGCCTTGAATTTGACTCTCTGCACATACAAAGAAATCTCTTCAGGGAAGAAAGGAATTGTGAGGGGAAAGTAGGAGGTCTTCTTTCTTTAGCTCTTCTTTTATTGTTTCCAGAGCTGGCAAAGCCATTCCTACTTTTCTGTATTGTTCCTTATGATCCCAGCCCCTTCCCTTGCAGCTCCTTTCTATTTCTGTACTATTTGTTGGACTGCAGTTTGAAGCTTGAACTTTGGTGCAGGTTTGGTATCACAGCTGTTCTTAGAATGACTGAATCATATGTTCACTTCCCCTTCTCCATGAAGGAGAGAATGCTGTTCTTCCAGGACGTTCCAACAAACTGTTCTCAGTGATTTTGGATTTTGATGTAGTTCAGTGTCACGCAGAACTGTAATCAGACGCCTTTCCTTTCTCCTGGGGAAAAAAGTGTGAGTCATTAAATTGCTGCTGCCCTGCACAGTAAACCTGAGGTTTGTTTTCCAGGCACGTGTATTGGAAACACAGACAGCAGGCATTTCACTAACGTCACAGGTGCCATTTATCGATTCAACCCGGTGCTCTTGAAGTCAGATGATCTTCCCAGGTACTGTGTTCTGTCTGCATGTGGGCAGCTGTTTGGGGTGGGGAGTAGAGAAAGAGAGAATTGATAGGCGTTAGGCTGAAGGAAACCCAGCCTTGTGTACCTTGGCGTGGTGCTGGTGTTGCTGCACGTTCTGTAAGGCCACCCATTTCCTGCATATTTGGGTGCTGCACAAATAGGGGGTGGGAATTACACTGAGAGAGTGTTAGCCCTTACTCTTCTTTACTCTAAATGTGAGCGAGACCTCATTCAGGTGTTGGCAATACAGTGAGGCTGAGTGGCTCCTTTAGATTGTGCTGCAGGTATCATTCTGGTGCTTGGCCTTAAGAGTTCAGTGTTTGGACACTGAATTTGTTTGCACCTTAAAGTTAGATTTTCTGGGGTAAAGCAAAAACCAAGAGCTCCAACATGCAAAGGATTGTTTCTTTGTGTCCATTTATCATCTTGCTGAGGTGCAGGTGTCACAGGAGTGCTGTAATGCTTTGATAGCTGTGTGGGACAGGGATATGAATGGTCAGGAGGTGGGAAGAGAGTTGGGATAAGTTTTCTTTTCCATATACACCGTGAGTTTAGTTGTGCTGTGAGCATTAGGATCAGTAAATTATTTCAGTTAGATTGAGCAACAGACACTGCAGTATTTTTGGCATCTGTTGCTGTATTTTTGTGCTGAGTGTTGCTTAATGAGGTGGCAAGTAGGTGCTGGGTATTGCAGGTGGGTCACAAATGCATGTTGGAGTGAAAAACATTCTTCTCTTTCTACCAGGATCCATGGGTTGAATGAGAGAATCTCAGTTGAGAGTTATGAGAAACAGGTCGAGTTTCTCTTTCAGCTCATTAAGAACTGTGATGTTGACGAGCTTCCGGAGCCTCACGCAAACTCTCATGAGCTGTGAGACAAAAACCCAAGAGGAGCAGCTGCTGAGGTGGACTTTGGGATGGCAGAGCTCTGGGCCATAAGCAGCAGTTGTGTGTTGCACGTTGAGTGATGTCTGGAGTTTGGTTGTGCATACTGTGGTTTACATACACTGCTGGTCTGCAGCTCCAGGCAAACATACAGTTTGCTGTTCAGTGATAAGAATAGGGACAAAACACAACCACCCAGATTTCTGTGCATTCCTGGCCTTACGTGCCATTAATCTGATATTATTAATTTTTTCAGCCTCTTTTTTTTTTCCAGTCTTTAAGCCTCTGAAATTGGAAGTCGCTTAAAAGTCGAAGCTGCGATTTGTAGGCATTCACGCATCGTTAAAAGAGGCTGATCTGCCAATGTCAAAGTTGTCTTTTACAGTTCATTAGTTTTCACCAATGAAACAAACGTGCCTGTGAGAAGCTCAGTGAGGAGAACATGATGGGGTGGAGGTGGGATGTTGGATACAGCTGCACTAAGAGGCTGTTGCACTGCTGGTGAGATGGGCTCCTTTCCCAGCTGATCCTTTTAACCAGCATCAGTGGTGCTCTCAGGTGATGCCAGGGTGAATTTGATGCTGCTGTTTTCTGACTGATCTCTGATTGTAGCTTAAAATGCTGAGCTTTGAGGGGTTTAGCAATGTTGCTTTAACATGAGTTGCTCTGATCTGTGTGGTGCTAGAAACGTTTTTTCCTCTCTTTGCTGTGACTGTTTCTTTAGTGAGGCCCAGGACATGTTGTGATGCTGAGTGTCTGAGTAAGGAAACGTGGCTTTGAACAGGTAAACTAAACAGAACTGTCTGATGATCCTGTTTCTTTTTTCACTGAATCTGTTCCTATAGCATTCCTCTTTTCTTCCCCAGAGAACTTTGGGAAAGGTGGTGAAGCTCTCCCATTTCCTCCAGCTCAGAGGGAGCAGAGCTTTCTCTCCACCTTCATGGCCTGCTCTTCCACTCCTCGCTTTACCTGCTGCTTCTACTGACTCAGCTCTCTGGGAAGTGTAATGTGCACAGGCCATTGATAATGCCTGTGTTTTTATTCCTTCTTGCACTAGCACACCTGTCTTTGCTGACACTAAAGGGTTAAGCATTCTCTTGGCCCCAACAGTCTGTTCAGTTGGAATTACTGTTATTTGTTAAAGGATTCAGAACTGACCATTAGCCAAAGAAAAGACTGTGTGGAGGCTGTTTTCTTGCACTGACATGCAGAGTCTGCTATAGAACCTTCTGCTGTTGCACTGTTGCAGAGATGTGTGTCTCTCTTTCTGAGTGTGAGTGATACCCTGGAATTGAGTGGTTGTTCTGCTCTTAATTCATGGTGTAAAATGTGCTGGGATGTGCAGGAAATACCCAGGAATGTATCCTGAAAAACAGTGGCACTGTGATTCCTGACACCCATTCAGCATTTTCTGTTGATTTGCAGACTGATTTTATCAGTATTGCCAATGGGCTGAACTGTCTCAAGCTATTAAATAACTGAAACCAAATCAGCACTTTCATCTAATAAAGCAATGAGTGCAGATTATTTTCATGGTTATTATTTAGTTTTATGATGTACCTCTATAATTGCAGTGAAATCATTTCCACACCTGATTCTACAGCAGAGCGAGTCACGAAGTTTCCATCAAAACAAGTCCACATATTTTCCAGCCTGCTGTAGTCTTTGTACCCTCCTTGGTGTTCTTTTGATACAAAAATTAGCTAACTCTGTTTATATGTTACTGGGTAGTAAAGTGGAGGCTTGGATGGTGTCTCGTGGTCCCTTCCAATCTTAACTGTTCTGATTCTGTTGTAGGGATCACGTTGCAAAAAATCCTATCTTAGGCCACGCTGTTGTGCAGTGGAGATGGTGGTGTTTAGGAGGGATTTGTTGCCTGTTCTAATAGCAAATGAGCCCTAAAGACATAAAGCATCCTCCATTCTTCTGTGATTTCCTGTCCCCAAACAAAAATGGCTCATCAGCTGTGCTTTGGTGAGGGCTGCTTCTTTAAAAGCAATCCATTTGAAGATTCGTTTTGCTGCTGAAGGAAAAGTGAAGAGCAAAGCAGTTCTGGGAAGGCATGGTTGTTTTTGGCAGGTAACGTGCAAACGTGTGCCATGAGGTTTTGCTAATGCATTTCATTGCAGAACCTCAATAATTACTGCTCATCATGAGTGCCTCTGCAATGTGCAGATATTCAGCAGAGCTTTCTTGCAACCTGAAGCCACTCAGCTGAAGGCCTCATCCATCAGGATGCAGTGGTGGAAAGCACATTTTCCACCTTTCCCCATTTCTTTCCAGTTCATTTCTGCTTTGTTTTTTTTTCTGTGCAGCAGCTTTGCTTTCATATTCCCAGCTGATGAGCAGCCGTGCCACCTCATCTGGCCCAATTCTGAAGGGTTGCTCAGCGTTTGGTATCTGCACACCTCCTCTGACAGAGCAGTTTTTCTTCCCTGCTCCTTTTTCTGTTCATATGATTTGCTCTCCAGAAACATCTCTCATCCTGTGTGGTGTTTGAAATCTTCGTGTCACCATGAAAATAAAAACCTAAGGATGATGCTTCAGCCTTTTCTGCTGAGATCCCATACTTTGTGTAGCATAAGGAATTGCTTGGGGATATCAAGTACACTGTCACAAATACAGATTGATAGCTCTGGCTCTTTTTTTTTTTGTAATGAGTCACAGTGCTGTGGTCATTCAGGGCAATTACCTCTGATTCATCAGAGAATTAAAAGCCTGATTTTCTGTTCTGAAGACACGTAACTTGGCGTTGATCTACCAGGGTTGTGAATGCTGTTTGCATTAGTCAGATTCCAGTACATTAACAGGTTCCTGTGTTAAAGCCATGGTAACTTCCTTCTTTATAGGCAAGTTTACAAAGCTGCCATTCTTCTGACAGTGGTTTCTCAGAGCAGCAGGTCTGTTGTTCAGAAGTAGCAGCCTGCTTGCTGGCACCCCAGCTGATGGAGGGTCATATGTGCCTGCAGTAGGATGGTGAGAAGGTCATACTCCACACCTGCACTGTCTAAAGCAAACTCTGTTGCTAGCATCTATTTAAAACAACATGGTTTATTTTGAGACCTCAGTGACCACGCAGAGTTCAGGCACGGGGCTGAAGAAGAATGCAGGAACAAGGTGTTTACAGAGTTGTTTCCCTCCAGCCTTACATTTGGTCCATGCTTTTGGCTTCTCTTTGCCATTTTGATTGCTGTTTCATTGGTGAATCTATTTGCTCAAGCAGGTGCTATGAGAATACAGTGCAGGCTGTGTCCATCACTGAGCCCTGCTCTTGTCAGTGCCACAGAGCAAGGCGTTTAAAGTAGATGTGAGGGGCAGATTCTTCACTCAGAGGGCAGTGAGGCCATGGAGAAATGTTGGTGCCCCATCCCTGGAGGTGCTGCCTGGATGAGTCCTGGGCAGCCTGAGCTGTGGGGGCAGCCAGCCCACGGTGGGGAATTTGGGTGTCTTTAAGGTCCTTTCCAACCTAAGCCATTCTGTCGTTCACTGAGGAGCTTGGAGGATGAATCCAGCATTGGCCTTTGCACTGCATGCAGTCCTCAGCAGTGGCAGAGTTGCTTGCTGGCACTCAGAAACACTTACAGCCATGGGGTTGTCATATTAGTCCCTAGATTCAGCTCTTAAAGAAATGACACTGCCTTCACCTCTGAGGTCTCTTTTACAGCCCTACCAGTCGCATGCCACCATCTCCCAGTGCTCGCAGCAAATTCTGGAGGTATTCAGCAGTGCTGCCCTGGGATTTATTGGCTTTAACCAAACAACACAGACGAGTCAGGCAGCGTGTGGTCAGCACTGCCGTGCAGGGGGCTCAGCTGCCAGGGAGGCTGTGATCAAGAGCTCAGCATGGGGGGGAAGGGAGTGCCCTGCCCTGCCCTGCCCTGCACTGCCCTGCACTGCAGAGATCTTGCTGACTGATTTCAGAGCTGGGATGGGGGGCCCCAAAGGAAGCTGCACTCAGTTCTCAGCAGGAAGGAAAATGACTGCATGGAAGGGTGGTCAGTGCAACGGGTGGGAGACAAAGAGTGAATGCACTTCTGTGTCGGCCTGTGCCTGGGCAGTGGGGTGTGAGGGGCAACGTGCAAAGTAACAATGCATATCCCAGGAAGCTTTTTGGCGTATCTTTTGTTTTGTAACTTTAATCCAGCATCATTATGTGGTTTACTGTAGCCTTGTGAGCACTTGGATCGTTGAGCACTGTGCCCAACAGTGCACTTCTGGGACAGCCACACGGAGGAGCCTGGCTGCACTTCAGTTACTTCTCTAAGTAATCAGAAAGCTCCTTCTAGCTCATGGCAATAATCCTCTGCTCAGGGGCTGTGCTCACTGCGTGGCAATGCTGAGGTTCTCTGCATGCTTTCTGTCTGGCTAGCACAGCTCTGCCAGCTGATTTTTGTGTTTTCTGTTTGATAAAGGTGATTAGAGAGAGGCAGCAGCAGGTTACTGTCACAGACTGATCCAAAGCCACAGCAAGGGAGTTGAGCTCCTCCAGAAAGCTTACAAGAGGAAACCTGAAAGGTTGGTTGTTTTTTTTCTTTTACTGGCTGTACTACATCTGTTATGTACGTATCCAAACCACATTTCAACTTTGTAGCTTCCCTACTGACCTTGCTCTAACTTTGGTACAGGGCTGATTTCAGCCTACCTGGCAAGCTGCGTAAGTGCTTAAGAAGAGTAATGTGCCCTGCAGTGCTTTTATCCTTCCAAGTCCACTTGGATACTTAAATCTTATTACTGCAGTACTGTGTAGTTTTACTTAGACACCAGAATTAATCCAGTGTCCCCTTTGGGCTGTTGGGAAGTGAAGGGACCATTATGGAGTGGGGGATAGTGGAGAGTCAAGAGGTGATTCTCACTTCTCCATCCCAGCAGCCTTGTGCTGTTAGTCCTTTTTTCGCCTTAATTTCAGCATATAAATGAATTTGCAGCTTATATCCAGAGCAGAGCAGCAATGAGAGGCATGTCCCAGTCCCCATGTGGCAGATGTCTGTGCTGTCACTGGATCAGCAGCTGTGACACAGGAATCTTTGCCCTGGAGCACGGGAAGCCAAAACCTTCCAGCTCCCCTGTGCCAGGTGCTCTCCCATGGCTGAAAGCCCTCAGGATGTTCCTGGCTGAGAGCAGCCTGTGTTTGTTGCAGCAGAAACAGCACGTGGGTGACACCTGAGTGCAGTTGAGAGACGTGGTTTAATCCTTGAGAAAAAGGATGGTGCTGGTTTTGTTTGTTTCCAGGGCTAGAAAACAAAATTCCATGAGCTGCATTTCTTCTTCCAGATCAGGGCCAGATTGGGGTCAGCTTCCAGTGTTGCCTGCTATGGTGAACTGTTTGCTCAGGACTGACGTCTGCAGGGGTAAATAAGTCATTACCCATATCCTCATTAGTCTGAGTTTGGATCTGGGACGGACTGCAGCAAAGCTAGAGCAGGGAGCAAAGGGTCCAGACCTCCCAGAACACTCTCACATTATATGACAGCTTTTAGTTTTGACCAGCTTTGACCAAATTACTTTCTTTTGCTGGATCTTCTTGTTCATGTCCAGAGCAGGACAGTGCTGTGTTAGCGTGGCAGTACTGGACTCACGTGAGTGCTGTGAAACGCATGGCCACCAAGTTCCATGATCCAGTGTAGCTCAGTGGTAAATCCTTTCCTTTCCAAACGTTTGTTGCCTTTGGTACCTGCTCCCCTGTAATTGGAAAGCCATTTCCTGCCCTTTCATCCTCTGCCTTTCTGATCTCTGCGCGTCAGCGTAGCTGCTGAGGATTTCATCTATTTCTGTTCCCTTGTCTCATGTAGCTTTTTGTCTTCACGCTTCCACTTCCTGAGCGTGCAGCTGGCCGGGCTGCTGATCAACAAGGTCACATTTTGGTGCACGTTGTCTTTATGGGGGTGGGGGAAGAGTGGTTATTCTGGGGGAGAGATGAATTTTCCAGGTCAGGAAGGAAAGATGAAGGCACAGCCTTGCAGACCAGGTTTGTTTGGACAAAGGAGGATGAAGGCTGGGGGCAGGATTTGAGGCTGCCATCCCAGCTGCAGTGTGGAACTGCTGCTGATTCACATAAATACAGAATGGCCCGGGTTGGAAGGAGCTGCAAGGATTATGAATCTCCAACCCACCTGCCACAGGTAGGGCCACCAACCTCCACATTTAATGCTAGACCAGTGCTTCAGTTTAGATATCACTCTGTATGCCTCAGATTTTCTGTGGTTCTTTGCCAGTATCACATCACAGGTTGTGAGAATTAAATTAGCACAGATATATCACTAATGCTCTTTAGCCTTTGGAACAGTGGGTTCAAGTAGACAGAGCAGCAGCAGATAGGAGCAAAATGGAGTGCACTTGGCTGCTGTAAACACACTGAAAGCAGTGTGCTGATGATCTGCTGCAGCAGTTCAGCTTTCTTAGACATCTGCAAAGGGTTTTGGGGCCAGAGGGAGTTGGAAAACCATGGTAGTTTCATTGGAGCTATCTTCATACTGCTTGATAGATGGATAATAGACATATTCTGTATGTATAGCTGGATGCATTCTGCT